TATGTACTACGTACTAGAGAAGCCATTCCAAACAAAAATTGTGTCCTACTCTATGTCTTCGCGCATGCACGGAAGTAGTAGTCGCGCATGCGCGAAGACTTTAATTTGATATAAAATAAGATATTAATATAAAATAAATATTGGAATTTAATATAAAATATCTTAATTTAATCTAAACGAACATATTATATTTCTAAATAAAATGTAATAATAATTATTTTATGGAATTTACAAATCTTCAATTTACGCAATATTTCGTTTGTACGGATTGCAGAACAGTTCAGTTGAACATAGTCAGTGTTCGGAATGGCTTCTCTAGTACGTAGTACATATAACTCAATGCATTTCTGTAAATGTTTTAGGAATCTAAGTGCACTCTGTAGTTGGTTTGTTATGCGATAAGTTTATATAAATTACGAACAACGGCTTGAACCACGGATATCGATACTCTTTTTTAGCGACCTACCTGGCTTGAATCCCGTCAAAATCGGTCCAGCCGTTGCGGAGATTAGCCGGAACAAACAGACAGACATAGACAGACAGACAGACAAAAATTTTAATAATTGTGTTTTTGTTATAAGTACCGTATATACTTTCATATGCAATTAGTAGAAAGCTGTAATTTTGAAATTACAAACAGACGTTTCGATTTTATTTATTTGTAGGTATAGGTAATAACAAAAGTTGCAAAAAAATTTAATAAACATTTCTGCGTTTTTTATTTGCATGTCGTTTTGTATTTCATAAAAACATATCATATCGTACATCACATATCATGATCGAAAAATGATCCATCTGAATCGAAAAAAAATGTAAATTAAAGGAGAGAAATGTATGCTTAAATAAAAAATTACAAGCATTTCAAAATCACCAAAAAACATTTTTTTTATTTTACGTGACTTTGTTGGAACTAACAATATACTATATAAAATATTTCAGTTATTTAATAAAGTAAACCCGAGTACTTAATAATAGAAACAATAACTTAGTTTGAAGAAAGCCACGTATCAATTCTGTATTGGTTTTATTTTCACAAAAAATCTGTATTGGCAGCGGTTTTTTTGTTTATTTAAGTAATTTTTTTTATCAATAAACATGCATGCTATTTGTTATTGAAGTTTAAAATAATATTTACAGACAATGTACAAAAAGCCATGCAAAAAAAACATGGAAATGTTCCTTATTTTTATTTTCGTTAAAAAACTTTTTTAATTTTATTTTTGCACAAGTTTTTTATCTCATGCTTGTGTAATATGCATGCCATTTTTTTATCAACTTAAAATAATGTTTATTAATGAAATATTGAATGGCATGCAAAATAAAGTCACGGAAATTATAACAGCGTTTTTTGCAATTTTCGTCATGCATGCCAGTAATTTACAACTTCCTGTTGTGCATGCCAAATTTGCTAACGTCAATAAATTATAAAGATTAAGTATTGTTCCAATAGCATGCAGTTTGAAATCACGGAAAAGTTGTATTGAATTTTCACAACATTTTCCTAATATTTTCCACCCTTGGTCATACGAGGGGTGCATGCCAATTTTCGTAGAATATTTTTGAGATAAGAAAACAACTAATTTTTTACATCGGCATGCAATTTGTAAACACGGAAATGTTCTATTTTTTTTTCAATTCTGGGATCGGGTGACAAACGAGCACACAGTCCACCTGATGGTAAGTGGTTACTGTGACCCATAGACATCTACATCTATCCTCAAGAAAGACTCAAGATGCAGATGCGTTGTTACCCGTGAGGACTAAGATGGGATGCCTCTTTGCCAGTAAAAAGGGTCTCCGGTTCTCTACACTCACCATACGAAACACAGCAGCGTTAAGCTGCTATTTTACGCTGGTTTTCTGTGAGAGCGTGGTCTTTCCCCGTTCGAGCCGATCCATTCGTGCTACAACCATAATATAGCTGCAGCATGGCTCTACCACGTTAAAAATTGCATGGCCGTTGCGAATTGCATGCCATCAATTATTATAGCTTAAATTTGTTCCAACTACGTTATATTACAAAAGCATGCAATATAATGTCACGGAAAAATACTGAACTTCTTTACACAAAGAGATGCATTTTCTTTATGATGTGCAAGCGCGCAACGGCTCGTAACCCCTCTTATCTTTCATATTTTAGGGTTAGTTATCAATTCTTAAAAAGGCATGCAGGAGAAAATGGGAGAATATTTTCTGTCACCATCTCCTAGTCTATAAGTATGTACTCCAGACCGATATGAAGGACATACTTATTATATTATATGGAATGGCCATTTCATTATATGGATGTAAAACTAGGCCATATTTGTATGAAAGCAAAAATTATCGTTAAATTAAACGAGAACAAATATGATTTCTTTTTTAAAGGCTCGGTCCCGTAGCGTTTCGTCGCCGGGCGGATCGCGTCCACTGTCTCCATACGCTTCGCCATTGCTGCCTAATGCCGCCGGTCTGCCAATGTCACGTCCCAACCTACACTTCAGTTCCCAGGTAAAATTGCTGATTATGGCTGTACTTTTAGGTTTTAAAATTGTTTCCATCCATCCATTACAGCCTATAAAAGTCCACTGCTAAAGATAGGACCACCCGTATCGATTAGGATAGTTGGATTTAGCTATAGTTGACACACCCAGTAGGCGAGTTGGCAACCGCAGTTTTTTATTGTTTTGATTTGTTATGAGGAAAATGTTGCTGCCTATCTCCTGTTTCAGTTTCCTCCAGTCGCCTCTTACGACACCCACGGATTGATATAGGGTTGTGGATATTCTTACACCACCACTACATGGTTAATGGTTATTCTACGTGGTAGAGCCATGCTGCAGCTATATTATGGTTGTAGCACGAATGGGTCGGCTCGACCGGGGAAGGACCACGCTCTCACAGAAAACCAGCGTAAAATAGCAGCTTAATGCTGCTGTGTTTCGTATGGTGAGTGTAGAGAACCGGAGACCCTTTTTACTGGTAAAGACGCATTCCATCTTAGTCCTCACGGGTGACAACGCATCTACATCTTGAGTCTTTATTGAGGATAGATGTAGATGTCTATGGGTCACAGTAACCACTTACCATCAGGTGGACTGTGTGCTCGTTTGTCACCCGATCCTATAAAAAAAAATACGAGGATAAATGTAGATGTCTATGGACCACAGCAACCACTTACCATCAGGTGGACTGTGTGCTCGTTTGTCACCCTATCCTATAAAAATTTTATTTTATTATTTTTATTTTACGATAAGGGTGAGAAACGAGCGAGGACTGTGTCCACTTGATGGTAAGTGGATGTTGTGGCCCATAGACATCTACATCTATCTTCGAATACGGATCATAAATGCAGATGCATTGTCAACAGTGAGGACTAAGATGGAATGCCTCGTTTTCAATAAAAACTGTCTCCGGTGGTCTACACTCACCATACGAAACATAGCAGCCCTGAGCTGCTATTTCACACTGGTATTCTGTGACAGCGTGATCCCTTCCCGACCCATTCATGTCACAACTATACTTCTAACATAGGTGCAGCATGACTCTACTACGTAAATACCTAAACCTAAGTATTATTAATTTTAATACTTTCATTATGATAACTAATTGTAACTGGTGCTGGATATAACATATAAAATTATACACATAAAATAAGCAGCTGGAAATATAAAATTGAGTTATGAAATGGAGAAAATGATTTATTCAAAAAATTGAAATATTAGATAATATTTTATGTATGTATATTATAAATTATTTTCTTAATATTATTTAATTCAAGATATCAAGATAAAACAAAATATTTGTTACTTAATTCTAGGTTTTGTATTTTTAATTAATGATATTTCCAACTTAATTAATTCTAAATTATTCTTCAAATCACATCACTTCATTAATGTGGTTTGCTTACAGAGCACTTATGCTATTTGATCTTTTTTAAAACGCCAGTTTATGCTGAAAGACCAAGTGAAATCTATTGCTTATTGCTAACCATGTTGACTGTTACATTATTTTGTTTTTCTTTTAAATTTAAAACACGGACAAGCGCAAGTAGAATATATAGAGGATCTGTATAAAATATTATTATGCATGTAGATAGTTCATCAATCCTGTGATTTATAGTTGCGGTAAACAACGAACATTACTCTGACGAAAAGTAAGTCGGATTGAACTACAAAGGACAATGGCGAACGCCCATACAAATTTTTATGTCAGGTAATCTGGAAGCGTCTTTACATCAAAAATATCAAAAGCTATTTACCATCCTTCCCTGAGATTGTTTGTCTAAGATTTTTTTATCGACGAAGCCAGGAATAATTGTTACGAGGCTTTGAAGATTTGTAGGTTATGTGAAGTTATGTCACTGAAATTGTTCAAGATTTATTATCAATTAAAGAGTTTCTGACGTAAAGGATTTCAATCATTTAATTTTATATTAATGTTCAATTAATAATTATTCACACTTGAAACGGTAATATACCTAATAAGGTATATTACCGTTAATAAGGTATATTACCGTTTCAAGGTTATTCTTGAGTAATCAACTGGTGGAACTGTAATTAATTTACTAACTTTTTAAGGAATCAGTGCCTAATGAGAATTCAAAATAATATGTTAAGCCATAGTACAAGTTACACTTTGGAGCTAGATAATTGGAATGAAACTATTTTTTTTATAGGAAAGGGTGACAAACGAGCACACAGTTCGCCTGATGGTAAGTGGTTACTGTGGCCCATGGACATCTATATCTATCCTCTTTTACAAATCAAAATGCAGATGCATTGTCACCCGTGAGGACTAAGATGGAATGCCTCTTTTCCAGTAAAAAGGGTCTCCGGTTCTCTACACTCACCATACGAAACACAGCAGCGTCAAGCTACTATTTCACATTGGTATTATGTGAGAGACCCATTCATGCTACTACTATACTATTAATATCTAATATAGCTGCAGCATGGCTCTACCACGTATAAAATATTTATTAATATTATTCGACCAAAGGTAAATAAAACAAGAAATTAATTATACAACATTTATTCTTCATCATCTTCCCTAACAATTACACCATCTAAAAACTCTGCCGGTGCTGAGATATGTTGCTGATGTCTGGCCCATCCTAAATACCAAACTAAGGTCATGACATGTGCGCAACAGCCTACTGTGCGCCGACCTACTAAACAACTACAGCAGTACTCTGTGATTCCTGTTCGGCCAGGTATATTATTTTCTAATAAAATATATACATAATATTGTCTCCGGGTTACATGCCTTGACTTAATTCTGCCTCTAATCAATGTAGTTCCATTTGCAGAACCCCTAAGATCGTATTCAGATGAATGAAATTGCTCACTACAGACTTCTATTCTGTATCCGCCATGGAAACGCACATGCTCGCCGTAATATGAGCGAGCTTGTCGAATTTGGTACGTTCCCAGGGCGAACAAAATCAGATCTCTCATTTCTAATATTGGAAAATACACAATATTATTCCTATCCGCAGTAATACTTTGAAAGTAGGATGTGCGTCTGTTCATATTTCGAGCTTCAACCATATTAGCCAGATTATTTTCTAAATTCATTCGCTGCCTAATTATTTCTAATATTTCTGTGGCATATATATTATCTACAAAGCGAACACCAAACCTGTTTAACAGAGCCGCTGCTATTTGGAAGTTTTGCATCATGTGTGGTAGAGACCTATGGAAATATTCTTGTCGAAATAATTTAAAATCTCTTTTAAAATGACCATTCACGGCCTCTACCACCCATCTGCAAATTGTGACACAGCGAATCCGATTGGCTTGAGCAGTAGTGAGTTGGTGTTCACCTTCTATTAAAGATTCTGGCATATATGGTTTGTACCCACATCCTTCTAAAAAACTTATACTGTCTCTGAATCCCCTATCCAATATAAATATATCATTCTCTCTAAAATATGATCTTAAGGCGGAACCCTCACTGAACAAATTGGTCATTATTTCTGCATCTGATGTAGTTGCTTTGTATGGGCCAAAACAATCAACAATATATCCATCACATGCGACAATCATGAATGGTTTTAATAAGTTTCTATATTTGTGAAGGGAGTAACTCTGCTTTTGGAACATGTAGTTTGAACTTTTATTTATATATATATATATATGTTCCATCACAAATTACAATACCGTTGGTGTTGTTTTCATTTCCAAAAATGCCATGTGGTATTGTTAACTTGTGCTCCAGCAGTTGCTCTCGTGATAACTGGTAAATTCCCAAGTTTTGGGGCACAAAATCTTGGAGCAAAATCTCTCTTATTTTGTCTATTGCATTCTCTAATGTTCTGCGTGGCACTTGTACTAAAGTGGCAATTCTTTCATCTGAATCCCCCGTCCTCATCTTCATTAAAAGTGCTGCTAGGCCCAAGCATCCTTTTCGTGTTTCATTTATACGTGGAACTTCTTCTAATATACTGTTGAACTTTTCTTTAGTAAGTCCGATCCAGTATTCGAATACTCTGTCATCCATTTCAAAAATATTTTCAAAGTCCAATGTTGTATTAATCTTTATAAAAGAAAATACATGTTGTACTTGGTCTGCAGTGAAAGTGTCCAAACTATTTGCAGAATAATATAGTGTCTCCCATAAATTGCTACTTAAATGTTCACTGCAAACACGAGCTAGTTTAGGTATGTAGTAGTTGTGATTGCTCAGGACTACAGCACGGAGTTTGTCACTGATTCCATGCAATGTGGTACTGTTACAATCCTTGAAAACACAACGATTGTTGTTATTAGCTGCTCTTCTATAGTCTGGTAAAGTTAGTCCATTTGGTGCATGCCTCACTTCCTCATTTGAAATACATGACTGCACCCCTGCTAATATAGGCTCATCTGCTGTTGATGGCTCCTCAATTGCAGATTGTGGTCTGTTGACATCATGGGTACGACGGGCCTCTCTTTGAGTGCGCAACCAACAAGGGTGACACACCTTATCAGTTTCTGTAACCTAGAAATAAAAAAAATGCTTTAATGAGAAAGATCAACAATTTCTTTCAAATAAAATATGTGGGAAAATCGTCATATCAGTAAAACCCTTTTCAATATATTTTACTTCCATTCATAGGTTTGATTAGCATATAAGCACATATATCCTTGATTTGATTTCCAAATGTTATGATTATTATGTGTTAGTATATGTATACTAAGGGACCAAAAATACCAAATGCTTAAATATCTAGCTCTAAGATAAAGGTGTCTTTTTCACAATATGAGACTGCCCAAAATAAATAAATTATTCAACCACAACAACAATCACAACAATTACCAAGCTCAAAACTAAGCTTGAGCTTATGCTATGGCAACTAAGATAATGGATAATAATTATATACAATTATAAACATCCATGACTGAAGTACAAATGCTCATGCTCATCACACAAACATTTGCCACTTGCGGGTTTCGAACCCGCAACTGATCATTCGTAGACCGAGCAGACTACTTGACTAAGGCAATCATCTAAAAATTAAAATATACATAGCACACCTGTCTTGGAGCAACCCTGTTCTCAATAAGGGTATACATCAACTGATGCAAGTCCGTAGGGTTATCTCTCAATATTCTGTCACTTTGTCTTTGCAGAATAGAGCACCCACATAAAAGGCATACACTAACATGGCCTCGGTGACTTGGTCCAGGTTGTTGGTCATCAATGCCAGATATTTCTTGTAAACTATGATTTACACTTATCATAGCAAGATCTCTGCATGCTTCACAGACATAATCATCTTCGGTAATCTGAAAAATAAAAGTACTTATTATTAGGATTGTGTCATCCATACATAGATCTATGTGAAAAATCAATTGTAATCTATAGTGTTTGGTAATGCCAACAGACGAGAGGTTAAATGTTGAGTTAAGATGTTATTCAATTCAAATAAAATTATGTATAATGGGTGCAAATACTATTTCTACAACAATTAACTACTAATTACTAATTAATGTGATCATTAAAGAATCAGTTGGACATACTTGTAATAGATTTATTATTTTGATAAATACGAATAGAAATGGTTACTTAGAATAAATAAACACTTACGATTTGTGGATACACCCAGCTACAGAGTAACGTGGTAACTCTTATGTTAAGTTCCAAAGCACGGTATCGACGTAGTGTATTAACGCATATGTTGCAGTTGATACACATAATGCGAGTAACTCTGTCACGATCGCTCATCGTGTCTGATTTAAGTATTACTGTGACAAGTTGACCAAAATCTTAGGGCACAAATCGAAGTCCAGATGAGAATAGCACAATGTCGTCGGGTGTAGCAGAATCGGAGTCCTTTGGGCACGCAATATAGTATTCACACAATAGAAAATCAATATCAGATAAGTCCAGGGGCAGTCCAGGTCGAATAAAAATAAGGAAATCAAAAGGCAGAACCAAAAACACAAAACACAGACAGCACAAACGGCGCGAGAGCAGTGTGTGACGTAAGACGTAACGAAAATGTCATTACGACATTGTCATATTGTGTTGCTATAGCATTTATATTGTTTCTTACTAAACAATCTGAATTCCAGAAGTATATAATAAAATACTACATATTTTTTTAATATTCATATGTAACTTTTGTTTCAATGATATAAAACGCAATAATGATAATATTATTTTATCTTAAACCAGATGCAACAAGATGAATTGAAAATGATTTTTAACTAAGACACTGAAGTAATTATAAACTGGTCACACTAAGTGACGGAAAGGATATCCATTTGATTTCAATCAATTATATTTCCAAAAAGGAAGTGATTTTTATTCTGGCTTTTACTAGTTTTGATGTTTAGTTGATAAAATGCAATAATTTTTTTTATTACGTTTTTTAAAAATTATATCTCAAGACGCTTCAAAATATTTGACATATTATTTCGCCATTGTTCTTTAACTGCGATGGAAAAAATGTTCTCCCATATATCATCATAAAGTTTAAGATTTCCATATTAATATAAAATAGAATGCTATGTGTAGATTCTTTTACTGCTTCTAATTCTTGTTTCATCACTTTTCTTGGAAAGATTTGCCACAACTATCAATCTTGGTAGATGTTTTACGTCTGGCGTAAACTAGATTGTATTTTGTCATTTGTCAGAAGCTGCTGGTATTTACCATAGTCGCTTCTTACGACACTTACGGGATGAAATGGTGTGACGGATTCTCTGATGCGCCATCACGCGGCAGAATATGGTCAAACAATTTAAAAAAAGTATATATTTAAAAAATTGTATTGACCGTTAACGTTATTTTAGGACAACTGTTTGATATAGGCCTTATACAGAACTTTACAAGAATCATGTTGGGTCTCACATGGAATACTGTTCTCATCACTGGGCGCCGCAGTACCATCTTCTTTTAATCGACAGTTTTTTTTAATCGGCGTTATTCACTGGCCTTGCTAAAAGACGTTGCATCTCTTTGCATTTTTTTGACCTTACGATGTTATCTGCTCCGAGGAATTGTTCAGATTCATTCCAAATCTGCCAAGTTTCATCGTCACAACTCTTAATATTCCTCCTATTTAAAAATTGTCACTCGTTCGTCAAAGCTTCGCAGGGTCCCAGTTTAGAGTTCGGTGGGTTACAGTAAATATTTAGCTATGCAATATTGCCATTTTTCGAGATAATTACTTACGTCCAATTAGGGTTGTTACTCTTTAATTTTCACCGACTAGTATCATATTTTAAATTAATTTATAAAAATAGATTATGAGTTGAATAGATTTGGTAAATACCTAAGACTCAGTTTTTTTTACTAAGATTTTTGATTTGGATGCTTGTGCTCAAAGACATGTCATTATTTATCTCAGTATCAAGTGATAATAATCCTTTATAGTATACTGCTTCACAATATGGTTGATGCGCCATATTGCGGAGTTTTTGGAAGATTTTGAACAACTTGACCCAGTAGTAAGTTGGCGATAGTATCTCAAGGCGCCTAAGCAGACAGACATCATATCTTGAAATTCACATCACCATCGGAGCACTTGTTTCAGCGTTTCCGCTAATAGTTCACATGCGCAGACATTTAATAGACAAAAATCGCACCACTTTTGCATGTCAAAATCCACTTCAAACCATTATTAACCATATTTAAACAATAATACTGCCGTGGTAATCGAAGTGGCAGTAAGTAGTCAGAAAAGGCGGTTTCGAGAAAACGGCGCGTAAAGTTTTGTGTACAATATTTTGTTTGTGAAAAACCTATACATTAGATTATTATGTTCTATATATCAAATGAAAGTAAAAAGTTTGATTGTTGAAATGTAATGAAACCATTTTAATAATTTTACTTAGCTTGTAGTAAAATATAAAATAATCTGTCTTCTTTAGTATATTCATACAGATTTCAATTCTTATTAAGATAAGAGGGCATTAAGTATCGCAGATACTGCTTAGAATCATTTCATACTGCATTATTGCTTACCAAATTTAAAATAATACACTTAAATAGCTACATAAATCAGTTGTAAGTTGTAAGTCTTGAAAACGTTTTAAGTTATTGTTCATTGCACGGTTACTGTTTAAAGTAGCATTTTCATATTTTTGTTAGGATTTAACGCATTAAATAGTGGGGAAAAGAAGAAAAATGTAGTTAATTAACACGTTTTAATCATAAAACTTAATCAGTGAGATCAAAAATCACATATTGCTTCTTATTATTTGGCATAAAGTTACTCAAACTTCCCAAAAAAAATACTTCTTAGCAAAACTTAAGACTTAATTATAGAGATTTAAATAAAACTAAGAAATCATTAATTATAGAGATCAAACACCATATATCAGTACGTGTTATTTGGCACAAAATTATTCTCAATAATTTACAAATAACATAAAAGAGCTTTTGAATAATTTTTTTTTATAGAAATAGGGTGACAAACGAGCACACAGCCCACCTGATGGTAAGTGGTTGCTGAGGCCCATAGACATCTACATCTCTCCTCGCTTGCGAATCAAAATGCAGATGCGTTGTCACCCGTGAGGTCTTAGTCCTCCTTTTGGAATGCCTCCTTTCCAGTAAAAAGGGTCTCCGGTTCTCTACACTCACCATACGAAACACAGCAGTATTAACCTGCTATTTTACGCTGGTATTCCGTGAGAGCGTGGTCCTTCCCCGGTCGAGCCGACCCATTCGTGCTACAACTATACTATTAATATAGCTGCAGCTTGGCTCTACCACGTAAAATATAAAATTGTTCCAAAAATCTTTTATAATAAACAACAACAAATCTATTTAAAAGGCAAATTAGTGAAAAATAATACTTAAACATAATTAAGAATAAGTCAACTTTTAGAATCAGCGTAAGCTGGTAGGTAAACCAACTTATGCTGTTTAAAAAACTTGCCTCAATTTTTTCACATTCACTGATTGTATCTATTATTATCATTTATTACTATGTTAAATTTTCTCCGTTTTATTCTTCGATTGCTAAATTTTCAACATAATTATTGACACACATGTTTTCCCCAAAAAGTCTGCGATAAGCAGACATTAACGAACACAGATTTTGAATTATCTTCTTTTTCCTTTCGTCACTAATACCTCTTTCAGAAGTTCAAGTATCAGATTTAGGTATTTTTTTAAATTTGATAATTTTCACATATAATAAAACTTAGTGATTGGAAGTACTCTTTGTGGCAAATTTTATGCTGAAGCACAGAATACATAAATAGTACAGGGCACAGAAAATTCACTTCGCAAAATCATATAATAAATAGCAACTCTTGCTACGACTTGGTGAATATTGTTATATGTACCGTTGTAGGTACGACCCTACCTACCGTTATATTCACCTAGAAGTTACCTCTCTTTCTATCGCCTAAGTCTTATCTGTTCTGTCTACATAAGGGTTGCTTTCTTTAAAAAAATAATTAATCTGAATATTCTATTACCAGTAATATGCCTATTACTGGTAAAAGAATAATCAGATATATTTATGTATTTATGCGAATTTCGTTTGAATTATTAAGGTAGTTGTTGGGAGCACTAAGCTTGAGTATGTTTACCTGGGACAAATAGTCCGACTAGGTAAATCCACCTTCGACCAAGAGATCAATCGACGGATTCAACTAGGCTCAGTAGCATTCGGGAAATTACGACACATATTCTCGTCAGGTATACCTCAAAATTTGAAAACAAGATTGTACAACAAGCGCGTCTTGCCAGCGATGAGTTATGGATCTGAGACGTGATCCTTCACGGCCGTATGAGGAAGCTTAAGGTTGCTCAGCGAGCTATGGAGGGCTATGCTGGAGTTTGTCTGCGTGGTAAACTTAGAAATAAAAAACGATACTGTGGATTATACTAGCAAAATTAATTTGGTATAGTGGTTTACACTAACTTTAGAGCAGTATAACGGAAACTTGCTGCTCTTTTTATTAAGAATTTTTTAATACAAATGAAAAGGGCAGTATAATAATGATATACTGCTCTTTTATGTAGTGGAATAAAAAATAGTATTTTACCGTTTTTACTGCTCCTTATTAAACAAGAAAATACATTTCTAATTTACGTAGACGTATGAAACCTAGATAGAAAGAAAGACTGTTCGACGAACATCCTAATCTGTATTAATAAGAAAAAATTAAAAAATCTGACATACTGCTCTCTCGATTACGATGGCAGAATCAGCTATCGGCTGTCGGTCAAGTTCTCGCCAAAACTCTTCTATGAATCAGTATAAACTGAAAAAAAACCACCAAAATTATTTTTTTTTGCAAGCCTTACTTTTTAAGCGACAGTTGACAGATCGCGGTGATTCAAGGTCATTGACGTTCCTATTCCCATGCGAATTGTATTGAGAAGAATTTTATTTCTTACCCTTCTCTCTATGTTTTGTAAGTCGAAATTACTTACAAAATAAACGAAAAAAAAACACAACAAAGAATAAAAGAGAAAAGTCTGTATATTCCGATTTAAAAGAGATTTTGAGACTTTATAAAATGATTGTATTTTTATAAAATATGAGCTTCATCTATAATAATATAGTACAATTGTAGGTTTATATTGGTTGTCGTTGCAGGTTCGACGGCCAACGAGTGAGCGATTTGTAAAACCGGCAGTGCCGGCGGTGGCGGGCGGCGCGCCCCTGCTGAGCCGCGGCGCGCCGCTCGAGCCGCCCGCCGCGCCGCCCGCGCACCCCCCGCACCCGCCGCACCCCACACACCCCGCGCACCCCGCAGCCCCCACCTCCCCGGCACTCGCGCAACCCGCCAGCCCCATGGACACATCCATGGAAACCTCCATGGACACCTCCTCCAAGGACTAGGCCCATCGATAACCTGCCTGCTTACAGCTGCAGCGACGCCTAGGCCTACTTACTGATCACCCAGGCGTAGCTTTATAGACGCCGCTTGCATATACCACGAACCTTTGTCGACGGAGCAGTAGCGTTAAGCAAGTCCCTGTATGCTACATGACATGCAGTCTTGCGTGT